CAGTTATCATCTGGTTAATCCATGTCAGTGGATTAATCTACTGATGAGGTTACAGCTGTTGTAATCTAATCATTTTTACCTCTGAAATTTCTTGCATTGTTTCAAAAATGAGCTTTTGGGGGACACAACATATTCAAACCATAATATAATAAACATAGTAGAAAAGGAGAGCTGATCCCTTAAGGGATCCCTTAACACTTAGATGCCTGCCACAGTATCGTGAGGGTTGATTCAATGTTAATAATTGCCTTTTCCAAAAGGAGACCTGTAGCATGAAAAATGTCCCTCAAAGCATTGTTGATAGTTGTGATGGAGCCCAACAGAATTTGTTTCCTATAGCAAAGATGCTCCTCATTTTGTCTTGTCTTTGTTTTCTTTAATGAGTTTTAGAAAGTTGTTTTCAGAGAAGGTGAACCATCTGAGTTGGTACGTCACTTCCTTTACATCTTGGTCAGGGGAAGTCTTGGAAATTGGTCCATACAATAAAAAGGACTTTTGATTTCAGAGCTCAGTAAATTTTTACTTATTTTTTCAAAGTAACAAATACTGATAGACATTTAGCCCTCTGCCCAACATGCTTAGCATTCACTTATAGTGCAACGAAACCAGTCAGCCAGTGTTCAAAGTGAAGGGCATTTAATAAATCTAGACAAAGAAGATTGTGCAAAGCATTTATTCTTGGTTAATTTTCATGTTCATCTTTTCAGAAGGATGTCTTCTTTGTGCTTTTGAATAGAAACATGACTTGAGAGAACATCAAAATTCAAGGGAAATATTCAGATATCGGATAAAAGTTTTACTTGCAAGTCTCATTTTTTAAGACAGCTGTGTAACCTTTAATTCACATGAGCACTCACGTATCTTTTAAAACCTGCTTTCTCACCAAACTGACAGTTAGAATTTTATCTCTTCACTGTTAAAATTTCTCCAGAGAGTACAGTACTGCATCATTTTGACAAACCCGAATGTGAAGAGATGAATGGTCCTTATTCCCCAAACACTTCAGGGCAAGTTGCTTTAACCAGATACCTGTTTTCAGAGGTGATTTTTCTGTCATCAGTTTAAATCTATCAAAGTTCATTTAATTCTTTTAAATGCCATATTTCATATAAAGTGGAGTTCTCCTCACAGTAGTGAGTACTTCTCTGAGATCCTGAGCCATTCTGACTACTACTATTCCCTGCAAAGGCCACACACTCTCTCACACATAGCAAGAAGACCTGGGAATGAATGTGAAAAAGAACCTCATCATCTTGGATTCAAAAGTCTGCACATTGCTGTTCTCTCCACGTTCTTCATATGCTTTGGAAATCCCCTTTCCTGAGGTGCACGGATTCCTGCCAGGCCAGGAAAGAATGTCTTTATGTGGTCGTCAGCATTCAAAATATTTTGCTGAGGGGACATGGATGGTTATAGAGAAAAACCACAGGATATTAATTGAAAAGCAATTATTCTTTCAGTTGAACATCAGCTTTGGCAGTTTGAGAACAATTTTTAATTGCTAGTACAAAAACTGTACCACTCAAAGGATCTAATGAAGGCTGGGTGTGTAGCTTAGAAATAGAATGCTTGCCTGTGTGCATAAGGCCCTGGGTTTGATCTCCAGCACCCACTTTTCTCCCCAAAAGAAATTTGCTGTTCTAAAGTAGAGAAATGGTAAAGGAACCATAGTAAACTCATGTCTAGCAGGGAATGTGGGCTAAAGATGGCCTAGTCTGTATTTTTATTTTATGAATTAAGAGTGGTTTCTGTAATTTTAAATGATTGAAACATATCAAGAAAGTAACATTACTATGACACTTGAAAACCATATGAACTTTCAGTTTCAGTGTTCATAATGAAATTTTATAATTCCAAATGGTATTTTTTCTTTGCATATATTTTGTTTCTTTTCCTTGGTAGAAATGTACACTCCATGAAAGCAAAAATGTATTGACATTTATCTTATTTATGCATTTAAATTCAGGTTCTAGAACACTGATGGAGAAAATGCTCAAGAAGCAAATAAAGATCAGTTGAAGACTGATGCATTATATGACTGTATAATGTATGTATGTGGTAATAATCACCACAGAATATTTCTGGGGATGCATTTATGTTAGGCACCAGGTTGAAAGCTTTATGTATTCTTTTTTATGTTTTTCTTCTTATTGGATACATAAAACATAAAAATTATACATATTAATAATAACCATGTAGTGTTTTGATTCATTTGTACATGACAAAATGTTCAAACCAGGTTAAATGTATCTATCATATCTGCCTTTGCACAGCTGGTTGACTATAGGTAACAATTATATACTTCAACAAGTTAGAAAAAAAGAATTCTGAATGTTTCCACCATGAAGAAATGAAAAAAAAAAAAGTTAGAGGAGAGAATTTTAAATGCATGAACTCATTTAATTTCAACAAGTCAGTTATCAGCCCCATTTTACAGAAGAAGGGAGCAAGGGTTAGAGGAATTATATAACTCATTTGATGTGACAAATCTAAGTAACCATAATTCAAAAAGTCTGTTGGTTTCCAGAATTTGAGCTCCAATCATAAGCTATTTCTTTTTCTTAAATTTCTAAAAGCTTTTTACATATTCAGGTGAAAAAGAAAAAGATAGGAAAATACTGGAGGTAAATATACACATAATAGAACCAATTACTGGGTTGTAGATGGTTTTGGTTTTCTTAGCTGTACATTTTTATGTTTTTCCACATTTCCTAAAATGAGGGTATTTATGTTTAGTTACTTTTACAATAAAAACTGGATATTTCTAAAGGGAGAAAGAGCCAAGGCTTAAACTGTTTATGCAGAGCATTTCCTGTTCAGCTGAGGGTCTTGTGTGAATTGCTAAGGAAACTCTGTGGTCCTGTCTGTCCTGCGTATTGATCTGTGTTGTTGAAGTTCAGTATTGGGTTTCAATTCCTTTTGAGTACTTCCTAGCCCCTAGAATAGAAAGCACTTTTGGAGTATAACTTTGGTGGAAAGACACTGATGGAACTTCTTGGTAATTATTTATCTATCCGTGCTGGGGATCACAGAAGGGTTAGAGAAACTTTTTTTTTTTTTTTCATTGCTAAACTGTATAAAGAATGAGAAGCCTTATTGAAGTCATCATAAACAAGAAAGACCATCATGGGGCACACTGAATAAATACTTTAGGCTTCAAACCAGTAATGACATTCCGAAGGCCCTGTTTTAGCCAAATAAAGTCACAGAGATGGAGTTGAGAGGGTAGGGCTCTACCACTGTGTCCTAGCCCCCACCCCCACTCACTGGTTCTCATCTTCAGACATCCCAAGCACAAGTCTTGGAAAGCTGAGTTGTGTTTTCTATTCATATTTAGTCACAGTGATCCAGACCTGTCTGCAACCACACGCTGTGGGCTGATTTCACCTGGAATTTATTCTTTCTCCCTTTTCACTGGCACGGTATTTGAGGTCCACGTATTTAACATGATTTCATATAAGAAAACAATTAGATCCCAGAAGCTCTGAATCACTTAATCAGGTACAAAGACATAGAAAGGAGAAAAAAGAATCTTATAAGTGAAATTCCCTAGTGATGGCTCATGTTTCTTTCTCTGTTTTCTCTTAATTGTGTGTCAGTGACTGTTGGCATATTTTGTGCAATTCAAGGGATGTTTCACATGCCCTGGCCTCAATTGCAAAGTGAAGGGAGAGCAAACTTCCTTTTAAATAAAGCTGGAATGCAGGTGATTAGAACGATTAAGTGAATGCAATTAAAATTATGGAGGGTAGTATGGCCCCTAATGCAAGAATGGTTAGTGAACAAGACTGTTTCTTGTAGATAAGAATGTCAGAATAAGGCCCAAAGGTGGCGAATTAAAAGTTTCTAGCAAACAATGAATGAAGTTATAGGTTGAGAACATCTGAGGCTATTTAAAAGGGCTTTTAAAAATTCCTGGGGCATGTCTGGACATTCCAGTCACAATTTCAGACACCTCCGTTGTTCAGACCTGTTAAGTATGCTTTTTCAGTTCTTTGTAACTCAGTTTTTTTTTTTCTTCCAAGAGCATCATACTGATTTTTGAGTTGTAAGCAGAGCTGTTCAACTCCATCTCTTTGTGACTTTATTTAGCAGAAATGGGGCCTTGGGAATGATGTTATTGTTTTAAGACTGAAGTGTTGTTCAGTGTGCCCCATCATGGTCTTTCTTGTTTATGATGACTTAACTGGGGCTTATCATTCTTTATACAGTTTAGCTGTGAAAGAGATTGCATCTCTTCTATGAGGAATGAGTGAGCCTGACACAATTTGACACATTTGAGAAAAAATCGTGTGTGTGTATACACATGAAAAAAATGACATTTAAAAAAATATACTTTATGAGATTATGTGTGGATAAATGATCCATTACCCAGAGCACCATCGGGCTTACACTATTTCTATCAGAAAAGAATAAAAAATAAATAAAATTCTTGCTTCTTTTTTTTTTTTCCTTCTCTGGAGATTATAGTGATTGGTGTGGACCATACAATTTCACTTGGAAATTTTTGACTTCTAAAAATTCTTTTTCTTCCACAAAAAAAATTCTTTTTTGTGGCCTCAGAAAAATCAGACAGTTGTTATTACAAATAGAGAACAGCTCCACTCAGACATTGAATAGACAATTATAAATGTCTGGATTCTTTCCTTTTCTGTGGTGGCTGCTTTTAGATGTGGAATAAAACCACATTAGCCAGAGGACGTTGTTATTGGTGGTTAGTGACCTATTCCTGCCACATCTATAAAATATCTTGTTTAAAATTTTTTTTTCATTGTCTAACAATAATTTTCCACTTTGTAAGATTTGTAATAGGAAGCATCATTGCGGTATAAAAAATATTGAAATTTTAGAAGACAAAGGGACCATAAAATATGATGAATCAATCTCTTGCATTGGACAGGTGAGAGAGTGAGGCAGTGTGAGGGAATATCCTGCCCCAAGGGCAGCCACAGAGTCGATAACAGAATGCTGAAAGTGTATTTGTCCATCTGATTCCACAGATGGCCGTCCATGTCCTATCACTCTCTGGGACTCATCTTTATCTCCAGCAAGTAATGATACCCATTCTTCAGTCAAGCTCACCTGGGGAACTTATCAGCAGTTGCTGAAACAGAAATGCTGGCTGAATGGCCGGGTACCCAAACCTGAATGGGGCTGCACTGAAATCCATCACCATGAGTGGTCTAAGATGGCGCTCTTTGATTTTTTGCTACAGGTAAGTTTATCAAGCCAGCGATTGGTTATCTAAGACTGACACTTAGTTATATATAAGCCTGACCCTAAGAAATTTTCAGTGCCTGGAGTTTTTATGAAGCCAGAGCTTCAGTTCTATAATGCTGTATTTGGCGAGTGTAGTATGCCCATTATGAAATCTTACATTCTTTTGGGACATAATCATAAATGTGCCTTGGTCTTTTTATGAGTTTGTGAAGAGGCAATTTACTGATCATCCTGCAATAGTCGTGCTCATCATAGCTACAATTTATAAGACTATAGGGAGTAGTCTTATCCATTTGGAAGGTGAGTAAACTGATGTTTGGTGCCATTCATTACCTCATCTAAGTTCTCACAAGTACAGAAAGCTAGAGCTGGGATTCCCTGGGACCTGTTGGTGGTATCAGTTTATCTGCTTTCCATCATCCCACACTGTGTTTCAGCAGCCATCTAGCTTACAACCACCTGTTCCCTTATTTTCTTTTCAATATTATTTTTTTGGAAATATTTTATTAATATTTGACATTGGAAAATGATAAATGTTGACCGTCTATTTAACTGGGTGACTCTTCACATATAATATGTTACTTGTAACTATTCTCTGTTTCATGAAGATTTCATGACTCTCTCTCTACTCCCTCATTTTGATTACTGTCTTTCCCTTCTCCCAGTTTTTAAAAACTGGTTTTTCTGTTGTTGTTCTGTTAATGAGTATCCCTGGAAATTTAGGACTGTAGGACATTTGCGAAACATTCTCCTTCTGATAGTTCAGTGTGTGTGTGTGTGTGTGTGTGTGTGTGTGTGTGTGTGTAAAAGGAAGGGATACAGAGGACCAAAACTTAAGGAGAAAGCTAGCATAGTGCAGAGTCTAGGAAATAGGAACTTTGATGAAGGAGAGAAGGACCTCTGGAGTCAGTGTTGCAGAGTGACCCATGAGAAGTGAGCTGGGAAGCAGGTGAGGAGGCAGCCAGTGGTCACCAAATACTTTCCCCTTGAAGAGCAATTGGAGACCAAATGTGAGGCTTAGACTGGTTTTAAATATTTCACATGAATCATCTCATTTTTCTATTTTATTAACATATTAGCTCGGTGATCTAGTATCTTCTCTCCTTTTTACATGTAGGGAAACTGAGGCATAAGTTATTATCAAGAACTATGAAGAGTGGGGTTTTATTTGGTTTGCAGGTTAACAGCCTACCATAGCCTACCACAACTTAATAGATGGTATCCTGGGTTGGAAATGCATGACTTTATTACTCATGACACAGTGAGTGGTATGAGTCTTATGCTTCCTTGCCCTTCTAGTTCCATGGGGATGATGCAGAATGGTTGTGGTGAGTGTTTCATATAACGTGTTTGTGTCAGTGATGAGGAATCTGAAGCAGAAACGCCACAGAGAAATACCTTTCAGTAGTTACCTAACTTGTTTTGTGTTATATAACCAGGAATATCCTAAATAAGATCTCAGCAAGTCTAGCTAACTTTAGATTATGTATTCACCTTCATTGCATAATAATTACTAAATTATCCTTGGGTTAATGAAACAAATTGGTATGATAAAATATAATAACAATAAAATGTGGTACAAATGAAGAGACTGAGGGTTAAGTAGGTAAACAAACTGACTCTGAGGTCAGATATTTGGGGAAGAAGTTAGCATAAATGTTACAGTTCCTGAAAATGATGACTGGAGGTATAAAGGAGAAGAAGTCCATGAATCAAGTAGCAAAGTCTATGGAAAGTAATGGCCTTGAAGTTTGAAACTGATGAACATAAGAACTAACCTATAATGAATAGATAGCAAACTCTGGCTGAAATACTTTAATGACATGTGTTTTTATTCTGAGACCCTCAATTAAATCTATCCTACTGCCTTCATAATTCTCCTTTCTATCAGAGGAAATTATTACTCAACCAATAAAATATATTTATGCAATGTTTACTATGCATAATAAGGGCCAGGGGTGTAGAACATTAACCAAAGTCAAATATGATGATTATTCTCTCTACCACACTCCAGGGTTTTTAAAAAAGTATTCAGTTGGGAAAATATAATATATGAGTCAAATGATAGCTCCATTTAAGAATGATTGGCTGAATATAAGTTTTAATTGTCCTGAGGTCAAAAGGGAAAGAATACTTTGCCATCAAATAGCTAGTGAAGGAAGAGGAATTAGAGTAGGATCATAGGGCTCTCATAGATAGAATAGGGAAAGCAAGAGGGAGAATATAGGATTGGTGATGCCCATTTAGTGTTTAAGACATTCTAAATATAACATTTGAGGTGGAGAGTTGCTTAAGGGAGCAACAGTGCTTCCTGCCTCAAAGGCTTATGATGGAACATGAAGGAAGAGACCTATTTTCACAAGATGGGTGTTTACCTGGTCATTCTTCTGTTCATTACACGGACTGTGCAGGAATAAATTCCAGGTAATCTCATGGATACATATGGGCATGTGAAATCACTATGATGAATTTTTAACAAAGAAAAATATTTCAAATCTCTTGAAATAATACTACTAATAATCTAATATTCATAGAACGTTTGCTATGTGCCAGGCACTCTCATAGGCACTTAGATTCTAAACACTAAAATGATAACATGTATGATTCTTCTATCCACCCTATGATATTAGTACTATCATTGTTAATATTATAAAGTTGTAGAACCTGAGGCAAAAAAGAAATAGGTAATCTGATCGGGGTTACACAGGTAATGTGCAGTAGTGGTAGAACTTTGGCTTAAGAATCGAACTCCCTTGTGCATGTATGAATATGTAAAAATGAATCCTACTATTATGTGTAATTATAATGCACCAGTAAAAAAAAAATAAAAGAAAAACTAAAACAAAACAAGAATCAAGCTCCCAAGCAATGCTGCCCTTTGTTCATTTCATGGGGGAATAATAACTTCATCATTGAATTTTCCAAGTCAGAAACTTTGGAATCATATAGGTAGTCCTGTGATACCCCTTCATCTATTTGGTGACCAAAATCTTGATATCTCTTACTTCCTTTTGTTGTGGGGCAGGTCACTCAGAAAACACACCAAGTCCCAGTCTTTATTTAGCCTGCCAGCTGGTGACTGCCCCCTACAAGACCCATAACTGTCTCTGCAAGGAATGGCCCAGAGCCTGAACATTTTAGGATATTTACTGACAAAAACCACATCTGGGTGACGTAGCTGCAAGCAAACAGGTACAGAAACTGAATTGGGCAGTTAGCGAGACAATGCAATGGGTACCTTGATATTTCCCATGGGACTTTCCAGGTTGACATAGCAGCAAGCAAGCAGAAGAGAAGTGGGTTAAAATGACCCTAGTTCAGTACAAGTTAGAGAATGGTTACTAACATCTAGACAATCAATCTCTGACAAGGTACATTGCCCAAGAAAAATGGAAACCAAAGAGAACAGTTTTACAGTGTATAAGAATTGCTCTTTTGTGTTGCCAAGTATGTTATGCTAGGTAACTATTAATGGATAAAGAGGTGGGGCTTTCCCAAGGGAGAAACATTTTTTACATGATATGGAGTCTCAGGGTAAAATGGAGTCTGTTTGGTCATTGCCCATATAGCCTGGCCCATAACACTTTTATGTTTAGATATGCTCCTGTCTTATTTTATGTGTTGCCCTTTCTTACCTGGATGACTCCCTCCAATTCACTCAAACTGGGAGCATTTTCTAATTCCATGAGTAAGGTATGAAAGTGCCTGTTTCCCTCTTTTTTTGCCAACTCAGGGAAGTGGAAGGAAAATTAATGTTTTTGTTAATCTTATGGACCAGGGGTTTGAGGTCTTGTTTATAAACTTTTAGTTTTTCATGATGAGTGAGATTGAGAATATCATTTTTCAAATACGTATTTTGTTTTCAGTGAACTGTTGGTTCAAACCATTGCCATTTTTATTTCATTTTATAACTTTTTCTTATTGTTTAACAAAAAAGTTTTATATCTTATGAAAATCAGCCTTGATAGTCCTATAGGTCTTCAGTAGTCTGCTTTTTGTCACTATAACAAATACTTGAAAAAAATCAACTTATGAAGAGATAAAGTTGATTTTGGCTGACAGTTTTACAGATTCCAGTCTATGATTGATGGGCCCTGTTGTGTTGGGCCTTTAGTGAGGCAACACATTATGGGAGAAATGAGTGGTAGAACTTGTCTCATGGCTAAGAAGTTAAAGAGAAAGAGGAAGAGCCTGGGGTACCTAATCCCTTTGGATTCACATACCCAGTGACTTGAAGACCTCCCACTAGGCCCCACCTTTTAAAGGTTCTACCGTCTCCAAGTAGCACCACCCTGGAGACCAAGACTTTAACATATGGGCCTTTAGCCGGTATTCCAGATCCAAACTCTAGTGATACCCCAGAAATAATTTTTCTTAATTTGTTGTTTATCTTTTGACTCATAGATTTTACTCCAAGGTGTTGCACTATTATATAAGACCACATCTTATTTGTATTTGTTTTGCCTCTATATTTAGCATTATAAAATGTTCATAGAAATATACTAATTGAAAAAGTTTATTGGAAAAATGAGTGCATCAACAAATAGGTCATTTTTCATGGTTTCATAGTACATAGTTATTTTTTTTTTTTTTACAAAATACTCTGTCTCATCACTGACACTGATATTCAGGAATGTATTGGGTGGATTTTGTGAACAATCTTAGACAAATTATCCCCATAGCAAAGTAAAGTCACTTCCTCTGTGATACTCGAAAGGGCTGGGGAATACAGAACCCAGTTGTTACTTTTCTGTATACAGCATTCTTTTTGTTTCACCCAATTAATGAATCTACATTCACAAAGGCTATGCATGCCATTTACTGGCTCTGTAAAATGTGAGAGACAAGTAGTCTTTTATTCTTGAAGCTTGGGGGGTATGAACTGCATAGATTAAAATTCTCCACTGTTAGGAAGACAAACAGAAGGATTCTAGAGAATGTTTGAGTTTCTAAGATTTGGTCAAATTTCTCAAGATTATATAAATTGACAGGAAC